GCCGCCCCCCCTGCACCCTCCCCCCCCCCCCTCGCCGCCCCCCGGCGCCACGCGCCGAGGAGAGGAGAGGAGAGGAGAGGAGAGGAGAGGAGAGATGGAACTTAGAAGCTTTTGGAGATGTTAATTCAGAAGCCACTGAATCATATACATGACTACTATAAAGACAGATAAGGTCAATTCTCTCTCTCTCCCTCACACACCCTCTTCCCCACTCCTTTTTTCTCCCCCTCCCCCTCACCTGGCACATAGCCACATATGGGGTACAGTAGTGCATACTATCTTTTTTCTAAGTCCCTCCCTTTCTCCCTTCCTCCCTTCCTCCCTCTCTAATAACCATCCTTAAAACTCTGTCAAAATTTCTTCTAGGGGCCAGAGAGATGGTGCAGTAGTCAGGAATGCTTCTGCCCTTCCGGGAACCTGTATGCAGTTCTCAGAACTCACATCTGGAAGCTCACAGCTGCCTGTAACTTCAGCCCCAGTAGACCTGACGCCCTCTGGTGGCCTCTGTAGTTGCTGCACTCACATGCACACACAGACAAAATGTTAAAATCGCCTAATAAACTCTGATGCTGCTCCTTACTGATCCGACCTGAAGAGCTCTTTGCTATAACTTCTGAGCGGAGGTTGGGTTTTGGTTTTTGTTTTTGTTTTGGTTTTGGTTTTGGTTTTGGTTTTGGTTTTGGTTTTTTAAAGGAACAATCCAGCTCGGACTCTCCAGCTCCCCCTGACAAAACCACACTTTAACTGCAATGAAACTGAACAGTCTAGAAGCCAGTGACACACTCTCCCAAGCAGGGCCACCTGAGGCCTACACAACCTGCTTAGCCACATGCCTGACCATCAAGGCAAAGGGCTGTGGATATCCAGTGACCCTTGGCCTCACTAGAGCACTATGGCAGTTGAGGAGCCCAGAGATGCACGAGACCCCAATCTGCACGCTGACTCGATGTCCTTAAGTCTGTTTATCAGCTCTGGAAAGCCATGGTGACAGGACAAGTCTGAGCCCAAGGCTCAGTTCCGACACTAACCTCCTCTGTGGCCCCACTCCCCACCCCCGCCTCGTGCCTCAGCTTCCTCACACCTGAGACAGAAACAGGAACTCCACCCGTGTGAGAAATCTCTGGTGCCACAGAACACACTGAATGGAAATCAATAGACAAAAACCTTTTGACATTCAGAAGGAAGCAGTGAGCTTCTCTGAGCCAGAATTTGCAAATTAGAGGCTACAAGCCCCAACCCCCACCCCAGACACAGTCAGCTTGCTACAGCTTTGGTTTCTTGTTTTTATTGAATTTGTTGCCAGCAATAATAATTTGAGAGATTCCCAATAAAACTTCGCTCTTCTTGGTTTCTAAAAGTAAACAATTGTATTCGTTGTTATTATTTTGTAGTTATTAACATTTGGTGATCCTGGCTCAGTCATGAAGTGCTGATTACCTATCCCCTTCAACAGGAGGATAATGCTCACTTTCTTCAGTCTCTGCCAGTCCTACCATCTCACGGAGTTCAGGTCTCTCACTGTGACATATTGTCCACTGCCAGGCATTTGGAGTTTGGGGCCTTGCAGTAGCCATGCCCTGGCCTGGGAGGGTCAGTGAGAGGTGAGTGATGGGCAGTGAGGCTGTGGGAGATGGAATTCCCAAGCCCCATCCTGAGGTTTACTGCAACCTAGTCCTTGGTGGAAAGCCCAGAATCAGGGGAGGGAGCATGTTAGCTCCACTCATCCCCGTTCCCACCACAAGTCTGGTGAACAAAGCTACCTGCACCACTGTAGCTGAGCGCTGCACTGTGATGCACAGGGAGCTGCCACAACTGGGGACTGAGTGGGCAGACCAGCGGGGAGGAGCTGAACTGACCACATGCCCCTGGAGCCCACCATGGGCAGTGTCCTAGTGTCACCGAGATCTTGATTCCCCATAGAGCCATCCAAAGTCGATGCCATTAAATCCACTCCATATCCTGGGGCCTTGAGCTGAAGCCAGTAGACGTGGGGGTGGGGGGTGGGGAGCACGGCTCAGGTGCAGGGGTGATGTTGCAGATATCAACTAACTCGATGCCCCTGGGCCACTGACTCAGAGTCCTTCAAGGCTACAAGACCCTCAGAGTTAGCCTGGGAGCCTCCTCAGTCTTTCCCCAAGCACAGGACAAGGACCAGACCAGGAGGTGGCAAGAGAGCCCAGAAGGATGGGTGGGGTGGCTACTGTTGGCTGCCTACATCCATGATTCATCCTGGTTTCCACTCGAAGTACAGGAGAAGCTAGGGGGTGGGGCCGCACTAATGGAATTCTGTCATGTCTCTAACTGGGGGTGCTACTTAAGTAAATCAGCAAATTACTCCAACTGAACAATTCCATGCTTCTGCAGTGGTGACTCCATGGGGGCTGGGTGTGCAGGAAGCTGTCAGTTCCCCTCAGGAGCTCTGACTGGCAGACAAGGAGAGCTGAGACCTATAGTCTCCAGGGATTATGACAGAGCACAAAGAACCACCTCCCACCCCCAAGGCCAGGCAGCAGGAGGGAGCTGTGCCTACCCAGGGTGTCAGGTTTTCAACAAGGTAGAGGTGTCACAGGCACCCCATCCCTGAGACAAAGGTCTAGCCATGAGTCCATCTCTCTGGGAAGTCCGCTGGATTTGACAGTTCACCAGCTGCCTGTGACCTCCACTGACGCTAAGCATTTCTCTTTCCTTTGGACATCTGAGGGAGATGGTTTGGGTTTGCCAAAACATAAGACAAGTCAGCAATGGAATGGCTAAAAAACATGGAGGACAGAAATCTCCTGGCACTCCTGTGACAGCATGGAGGAACATTCTGAACCACCATCCCTTGTCCCTCACCGGGTGTGGAAGTGTGTGTGTGAATTGAGAGGTAAGTAGGAGGAAGGGTGAGTGAGTGGACGGACAGACAGACAGACAGACAGATGAATGGGTGGGTATGTGGATGGATGAATGGCAGATGGATGAGTGAGTGAATATTTTGGGGAGGCAAGTGAATAGATAAATGAATGGATGGATGAATGGGTGGATAGGTAGGTGGGTGAGTGAATATTTTGAGGAGGTGAGTGAGTAGGTAGATGAGTGGATGGATGGATGGATGGATGGATGGATGGATGGATGGATGGACTGAGGACAGAAAGACAGAAAGATGAATGGGTGGGTATGTGGC